TTTTTTTTTATTTTTTAATAATAAAAAATTGTTCTTTATTCATTAAAATAATCATAAAAGATTTTTTGTAGTTTAATAAAATGTTGATTGATTTAAAAGATCCATTTATTTTATAATTTATCAGGAGGTCTTAAACTTTTAACGTGAGAGTGTACATATTCAGTAATAATAAAATTCTTATAAAAATCATTTAATTTTATACTTTAATTAAAACTTGAACCTATGGCTATTGCAGTATAACTTACAATAGGAGTTCAATTGTTACCAACTAAATTAGGATTGCTACTTCTAATTTAAATATTATAATTTAAAAGTTTTTCTTTTTATTTATTTTAATTTTATTTTATATAAAGATATAAATAATTTATTAATATCAATTTAATAAATATGAGAAGATGATTATAAAATTAGAGACTAGAATTTTTAATAAAATTTGCATTTTATTTTTTGATATTAAATTAAGCAATAAAATAAGAATAATTTTATACAATTTTATTAACATTAGTGATTATTTAATAAAATAGTATTTAAAAATAAATAAATAAATAAATAAAAAATTAATTCATTAATTTAATTATGTTTAATTATGTTGAATAATTACAAATTTTAGATTATTTATTTAAGCCCAATAATAATTTAATGAAAATTATATAATAAAAAAGGGAAAAAAAAGAGAGTTTTTTGAAATTTATGATGAATATTATAACTTTTTGCCTGCAATTTTTATTAAAATCAAAAAAATATTTTTCTATATATATAATTATTTCTAACATTAATGATTTTACGACTTTATTTTATTTTATTTTGAAAAAAAAGGGGGTAAAAAAAATAGTATAATAAAAGGAAAAAAAAAGAATTATATTAAACAGATAAATATAAATCACAATTATCATTATAATTCCTTAATATCCTTATTTCTTTTTTAAATGTTCAGATTACGATTCCTTGTTTTCATCTTCATTACCGATTTCAGTAACTTCAATTTCTTTATCACCATCATCATCAGTTGTTACAATCATACAAGGTTTAATATCTTCATCTATTTCATTAATACTATTACTTTTACTGTGAGGAGGGGATTGATTTGGAGTTGGAATAGGCGAACTGGATAAAGGATCATTAGAAAGAAATGTAACAGAGGAATTGTCTTGTATCAATAATGTGGAAGGGTATTGTGTTGTTGACAAGCCTGTAGGGTTATTTTCTATTGCTCTAAGGAAATTGGTTAAATCAATATTTGTTTTTGTTACATGACCTAAACCCGACATGATTTTATTAGGTAAAGGAAATTCTAATGAGACTTCTTTAGCTAAACTGGACATTTTTACAGTTGTCTGCATTTAATGGAAAGTGTTAATAATAAGAATGAAGAATCAAACCAAAATCTCAAAAGGTTTAGTTACCTGTAAGAAAACTATTGAATCCCCATGTACTTTCAATTGCACGCTTAATTCTTCTTTTTGACTTGAAGATAATCTAGCAACCAATAAACTTTTCTTTAACCTTCTAGTAACATCCATAGTATTTTTTACTAAATTTCTTAATTCTTTAATTTTATTTAAAGAAAGTTCTTCCCCTCCTTCCCCTCCTCCTGCGGGATCAGAATTTGTTGAAGTGGTTAAAAATTGATCTAAATTTTCCGATAAATATTTTACAACGTACTCGACATTCTTAATAGAAACATCAACTTTAGATAATAATTGCTCGAAGATATTTACAGGGAACCTTATATCGGGCAAAGGGCTACTGCTGGTAGTCCTTTCAATTCCAACCCCAATAGTAGATGATGCGCTCAAACCATTCGAATTGATCCCATTTTCATTATAAAGATAGGGCGAAGGTAGACCGGTCGTGCTTGGTGTATTTAAATTATAAGGAGATATTGAACCATTTGAATTTACACCAGCCGAATAAAGTGGGGTTGGTATTGCAATTCCACCGCTTATCCCTCCGATGTTACCACTATTACTATTTGCGTTTGTATTATTATTATTATTATTATTGCTATTTGATCTTGACATTGACCTACTACGAAACGGTGTTGACATACCGGTATAAGGAGTGTAATCATTCAATAAAGGAAATAAAATTTCCCATGCAAATTTAATGTCAGCTATACTTCCATTTAGCATTAACAATAATGTTCTGCTATATCTCATATTATCGGATGATTGAGTAACGATTCCCTTTAACCTCTTATTTAATATATCAATCAATTGTTTAAAACATAATATATTTTCTTGACATGAGCCTAATAATTTCTCGCATAACTCGGTTTCGGGAGGAGATTGTAATGAGATACTATCAAATTTACACAAATTATTACTTAATTGTCCTAAAGTTTTTGAAGCCTTATTTAATTCATTAAAAAATAATTTTTCACTTCCCGTAAAATTTGCAAATTGTCTTAACGCTTTGTGTATTTGAGAAAACGCGTATAGGATACACCTTGATGCTTCCCGTAAAGATACATCACTCATTGGTAAATGTTCGGAAGGTAATAAATTTTTTAATCTCGTAAAATAACTATCACTTTCCTTCTCTTCTACAATATAATATTGATCATTATAATGTCCCCCATGATATGATAAATGATTACTATTATTTGTTGACGAACTTATCGAATCTGATGAAAAGCTTTTCGAATGTCTTGCTAAATTTTTTTGAACGTTATGTAATATTGATGGATCATCACTTGAGTAACTTCTATTTCTTATCGCAGGTAAATCTAAACTCAACTTTGGTATTTGTTTTTTCCTTTCATTTATTAACGGTGTTATCGTTTGTTTTTTAATTTTTGATGATACATTTTCATCTTCCGTTATGGTTTTTAAATGTGAATTTGGATTATCTCCCGTATTCGTTCTTGTATTCATTATAAAATTTATACTATCCGATGATGTTGATTTCTTTAACCCTTTATTATGCAAATCTTCCTCTCCGCTAATTTTTTAAAAAAAGAATGTTATTTAGACTTATCCATTGATTTATCAAAATCAAAATCATATTAAATCAACGTACCTTGAGTGGTCACTCTCATCCACATCATTTTCTTTTATAGCTACTAATGATCAAACTGTTAGCAAGAGAAAAAGAAAAAAAAAATTAAATTAAAAAAATATATTTGATACATTACTTGAAGAATAATTACTTGAATGCTTTCTTAAATATTCTTTTAAATTTTCCAACCAAGGTAACATGACTTCTTTTTCTTCTCCTTTTGGCATAATATGAACAGATTTAGGTGGAAATACGATTGGATTATTATCCAATTTTAGATATTGCAAATCCTTCATTTCTGATATATATAACGGTATTTGTCTTATGTGATTTTTTGACATCTTTAACAACTGATTTTCAAACATGAAAATGAATTAACGTATTAGAATTCATAATGAAAATCGATAAATAATAATGTATTATTTATGATTACGATTTTCTACCTTTAATGACATTAATGTTCCAAAATCTTCTGGCATCTTGCGAATTTTATTTCTACTTAAATCCAAAATTTCTAGATTTTTCATCGAACACAACTGAAATTTTTTTATTTTTTTTTACATTAGACAAATTTTTTTAAAAAAGAATTTAAATAAATAATTTTCACCAACCGCCCCAGGAAATTCCTTGAATGCATTATAAGAGATGTTTAAATATCTTAAATGGGCTAAATTACAAATTTCCTGTGGTAGCGTAGTCAATTGATTTTGTTCAAGTCCAAGTCTACAAAAAAAACATTGTTTTTTAAAAAATATATATATATAATATACACTATATCTTTTTTTTTTACAATTGGTTTTAATTGAAACGATTCATTACCTTTCAATTTTATAATCTATTGTAATGAAATTGATGAATTCCACCGGTAATTCTTTTATACCTTTATTACCTAATCGAATAGTATTCGGATCATCATTTAACATTACTTCTACCAAGTTAATCAATTCTTCCTCACTCATTTTTATTCGATTATATGTGTATATGTCAACTGATGATATTATATAATAAAGAATTATTTAAAATAAACGAATGTAAAGAAACTAAAATTTTTAGAATAGAATAAATCAAAAAAAAAAAATGAAAGAACGGATATTTAGTTTGTTCGATCGAAATGTCGTGTAACATACAAAAACGTGGCAACATCAATTTATCATACCTTACTGCATGTATGGACACCTCATTTTTGTAGTTTAACCGAACAAAAAGATCTTAAAATTTAGTCAGAATTGTAACCACACCAATGATAATGTTCGGACCCTCTTTGAAAAATCATCTATGACATAATGCATATATGCATAAACCTATTGCCTCTATTGCCTTATAGTTATTCAATTCTTTGAACTAAATTTATGTTATAATTACAATATATATTTCCCAAATGGCATGTTCATTTATTATCTAGAAGGCCAAACGAATTTGATAATTAAAAAGATGTAAAAAGTAGGTGATGTAGGTCTTTGAAACAACTTGAATAGTATCTTTAGACAAAAATTAATTTCTCTTTATTCAAAAGGTGATATTAACAAGTGATCATCATTGTTATCAGATCTGAGATTCCTAAAATGGAAAAAACTCTAAAATTGAGTTCGATTAACACAGATCTGTGTAACATGTTTTGAGCCATTATGAGTCATCAAAATTTTTTTTTAAACCAAAATTTTTCTCCGAAAAACATAACGTTAGATCCACTGGCTTTTCTGTCAAAATGTCAAATCCACAATTTCAATGCCGCATGTACGAGGCGAAATATCCCGAAGTAGAAGACTTAGTCATGGTTAATGTTCGGCAGATCGCAGAAATGGGAGCATATGTCAAGCTGGTATTGCATTTTTTTTAAATTATTTAGATATTTATGATCTATGTATTTTGAATCAATTAACACTTTTTTTTTTTCGATATTTAGCTGGAATACGATAACATTGAGGGTATGATTCTTTTATCCGAGTTGTCTCGAAGACGTATTCGAAGTATTCAAAAGCTTATTCGGGTTGGAAGGAATGAAGTTGTAGTAGTATTGAGAGTAGACAGAGAAAAAGGTTAGCTTATCTCAATTTATTGTATCTTAATTTTCTCTTGATTGATTAGATCGTTGATTAACTCATGACATAGGTTATATTGATTTGTCCAAACGTCGAGTTTCTCCAGAAGATGTAGCCAAAGCTGAAGAAAAATTCAACAAATCCAAAGCAGTTTCGTAACTCTTTATTATTATCATCATTATTATTCTGCTTCAATTCAGTTATTTAAGTAAGTAATTGATTTAGATGCTATTCTTGACAGGTACACAGCATAATGCGACATGTTGCTGAAAAGCTAAATATTGTTCTCGAAGATCTGTATAAACAAATTGGTTGGCCATTATACAGTAAATATGGTCATGCATATGAAGCATTTAAATTGGCAATCACGTAAGTTTATTTTTCCATCGATATGAATTATCTTGATTTTTTTTATTTAATAAATACATGATTTTATTTTATTTATTCAAGGGAGCCTGAAAAGGTTTTTGAAGGTCTCGAGATATCTCAAGAAATTAGTGATGAATTGTTGAATAATATAAAAAGAAGGCTGACACCACAACCTATTAAAATTCGAGCTGGTTTGCTTGTTTTATTTTATATTACGTCATTTTTTGTTTCTTTATCCAATGATCTAATGACTTGTTCCTATGAATAGATCTCGAAGTTACATGCTTTGGTTATGATGGTATCGATGCTATCAAGTCAGCACTTAAATCCGGTGAAGCTTGTGAAATTGATGATATTCAAATTAAGGTAGATTTTTAAAGAGTATTATTAATTTACTTAATTACATGCGCCTGACTTATTTCATATTTTAGGTCAAATTAGTAGCGCCTCCATTATATGTCATGATTACCAACGCGTTGGATAAGAACTTGGGGATTCAGACTTTAGAAAAAGCAATTACTGCTATTCATGAGACTATCGAAAAATCGGGAGGCGTATTAACGGTCAAAATGAAGGTTCGCATTAAAAAAAAAATTTTTTTGTAATTCCTTAATTCAAGATTTTATTTCAAAATAGTAATAAGTAAATTATTAATTAGCCAAGAGCTGTAAGTGAAACAGATGATATTGAACTTGCCGCACTTATGGCTCGTGTAGAAAAAGAGAATGCTGAAGTTTCTGGTGATGAAGATACCGATCCAGAAGCCGGTGAAGTCGAATAATGAATGTTATAATAGTTAATGTTATTAGCTTATTTTTTAGTATTAATTAAATTTTCATGGATTTTTTTTGGTGATAATAATTTAACGTGAAAATATTTGGATTGGAGAAAATAAAGCTATTTATAAATGATAATAAAGTAACATATTACTGCTGAAAACTGACTATAGTATCCGGTTATTTATAAATTTGTATCGTATTACTTTAGAAGGTATTTTGAACAAAGGGGGGAACTCTGATATTTTATCTTATAAAAATATTGTTGCCTAAAATTATATCATATTTTCTTGTTAATCATCTTTTGTATTGTAATGTTAATTGAAAGAAACTAAAGTAATTAAACAATTAACTTAAAAATGTTTTATTAATTGTATATGAGAAACCTAAATAAGTTTGAAACTAGAGAAATATAAAGAAGGATTACATTTACTTGTTAAAAATTAAAATAAAATAAAAAGTTTGCAAACTTAAATAGATAATAAAATTCTATAAAAAATAAAAAAAAAAAATTTTTTTTATTAAACTATTTATTTTAAATTTTATTATTATTTTAATTATAAAGAATTAAATATTTGAAAATTAAAAATTTTTTATTTATAATGAATATAATTTAAAAAAATTAAGTTATAAAATTGTTATCTTTTAAATTAATTTTATTTAGTCACATGTGACTTAGATTAGGTTATGAAAGTAACTTTATAGTATGCCGATAACTTCATAGTTTGTCGGTAACTTCATAATATAATGGTATTTTCATAGTCTGCTAGTAACTTCATAGTCTGTTGGTAGCTTCATAATATAAAAGTAACTTCATAATATAATGGTAATATCATAATCTAATTACATGATCTAGTGATAACTTCATAACATACTATCCATAATCTGATAGTAATTTCATAACCTACTTATAGGTAACTCCTTTGCATTTATAGCATTATTTCAACTGTTTCCTGTATAATATAGTGGTAACTTCGTAGTTTAATGGTGACTGTTAATGCTTTAATTAATGGTGATATCATGATCTAATAGTGACTGCTTTCTTCTTGTTCCTAATCTGTTTACATAATAAATCTATATTGTTAGTTCTGGTTTTCCAGTCTTCTTTGAATACCTGATCAGCCTTTATGCTAGTTTGAATACTAGTTCTATATTAAGAATTTGTACCTATTTAGTTGTCAAAATATGGTAAAAAAATATCATGACAGGTGACGTAGTAAATTTGTGTTTAATTTTCAGCTAACACTATACTATAATTCTGACTGATCTTTTGGAGACACAATTTGAGAATCCAGCTTGACAACACAATAGCATTATGATAATATTATAGAACTGTCATAGAATTGGAGTGGTTCTTTTAGATCACCTATATGCTAGCTTGGATACTGAGTTATTATATTTAAAGATCTGGTCAAATTTATTAAATAGTACTAGCTGAAATTATTATAATTTACTGTGTTATTATGTCAGTCATGTGATTGTTACTGATCTGTGAGTAGAGAATTTGAAATGCAAATGTAAATTACATTATTAGTTAGAGAATTAGCAATGCATTGTGCATTATTATGACCAGTCCATTTGTTTGCTAAAAAGTGCACTCATCTTATAAGTCAACTATTGCCTATTTATTACTAATACATATATACTAATTTTACATCTGAAGTTGAAGGTGCAATATGTATTATTGTAATCAGCTCATTTGATTGCTAATATTTTATATAATTATTATGCAAAAGTATACTCTAGATGATATTTATCTTCTGGATATATATATATCACATATGTCTGAATACATACCATTGAGATATAATTTTTATACCATACCTAAATATATATTAGTGATAGGGTAATCTTCTTTCATTATTTTATATAATATTTCTGAAAAAGACTACCTAATATCATATCATATCTGAGTATATACTTAGAAAGATAGAGGTTTCTTCCAATATTTTATATAATAATTCTGAAGTTACCCTATATCAAAAGTATATATTGTATTACTTTTCTTTTATGTTTTACTAACTAAATTAACTATCACCTCTTTTGGATATACCTCTATATTATGCGATGACTTTATACTATATCTAGATACATACCTAGAAAAGTGTAACCTTCTTCCAATTTTTATATAAGATTCTGAAGAAGACTACACTTTTTCAGATACATTCACTTGCCTTTATTTACAATTTGCTTATTAGCTTACTATATGTCTCTTTTTTTAAAGAATGAAAAAAATTAATTAAACATTTTTGAATTTTATAGAGATAGTATAACTTTTCAAACTAACATCATGCATATATTAACTATTTTCAACTAATCTGATTACATCAGAATTGCCCGCTATAATAGTATCAGTCCTAATAAATATTTAAGTGACTCAAGTAGTTGTACTAATAATCAATCTGACTTAGGGTTAGATAATTATAATAACTATGAGTCTAATTATGAGTTAGATAATGAAGAAGCTTCCTACGCTTCAACCAACACTATCAAGACTCTATTAGTTCAACCACCAAATATAAAAAAGTAAAAGTTTAATGTGACATATACTTTAAGACAGAAAAAGTTTAATGTTTAATTTTTTTTTCCAAGGACTTGTTAAATGCCATTTGAGAAATTTTCCTATCATTACCTAAAGATATGTTAGATGAAAAAGTATTATTAGAATATCTCCTAATTTATTCATTTCTCTTTCCAAATAAAAAAAACTCTAGTTTATATAATATTTATGGCTAGAATAAAGTGAAAGATACAGTCAATTCTTGATATAACGAACTCTTAATATAATGAATTTTTTATAATAAAAATACTCTTGTTATAGCGAATTGACCAATCAAATCTCTTAAAATCTTCACTATAACCTTATAGCGAAGTT